TATATGAAGTGGATGTTCAAAATTAGAATCAATCCAGGTTCAATTCACAATAACATATTTTTTCAATTTAGTGTTTTTTTTAGTATTTCCAATTTTTATCACATTATAGCACTACACTAAAATAATTAATTACTTAATTTGCTTTGCAGATTAAAGTACTTAATAGAGTTTACCATAATAATTACTTCAACAATAATGTAGTACCACTGAGGTGAAGCTCAAGAAGTTGGAGTATTTTTATCATTTTACTGATTCGATCCCCAAACTCCAATGTTATAATATTAATTCATATAAATAAATAAAAGGATGTTTAGTTAAGGTCACTTTTGCATAATCTATCTGAGCTTTCAGCTTTCACGAGTAACTGAAAAGACACCCAAAAGTCAGCACCATTTACACTATATTAATGATGCATTCCTTGTCTGGAGTAGCCCTGAAATGTAAAACAAATGATGAACATTAAATGTAATTTTCTGACTCTGTATAAGCTTTGATTGACCTCTTTACTTTCAGCAGCTGACATGTTCCTGTGGTTTTCTCTCCTTTTCTCTCTCATTGCCTTTCCTGTGATTGTCAGTCGGTTTCTAGCTCATCCTAATCTTCTCCTTATTTGTTATTAGGTAATTTGTCCAGCATTTCCTACAGGCTATCATTATCCACTCTTAGACATATACATCCCAAGCAGTCCCAATCCTTCCTGTCAATTTCCTTTCTTTTTCTTATCAGCTAAAGTCAAATACTGAGAGTAGACACACAGATCGCCAGCCAAGCACCGTCTCTTATCTAATCTCCAATAACCATCAACAGCTGAAGCTCATAGCTGCAGTTATTACAGAGGGCAGAAAGGGAAATGGAGGAGGATAAAGAAGGAAGAATCAAAACAAATAAAGTTGAGCCTGCTAATATTCCACCATGCTCGTCCTGTATTTTCACCCTGTTTCTAAGTTGTTGTTGTTTTGGGGGTTTTTTGCTAACACTTCTGTACACATAACTCCAGCAGGACTGAAAGTCCTTCAATTAAATGCAGACAAAAGACAAATAATCTTATCTGTTCACAGTTACATTCATTCCAAAACCCTAAACTGTGCAAACTCTCACCTACATGTGTCCCATCTAAATGGACACATGAGGGGGTTACAGTTTTGCCACTGACTCTTATTGAACACTCAGATGTTTCAGATGTTGAAAGGAAATGTCATTTCTCTGTGGGAGGAAATACTGCCACCTATTTTTCTTACAAAGTAGTATTTTAAGATTATCTTTGAACTGCACTGTGTTTACCTGTTGTTTTTAATTAGGTTGTGGGGTGCCCTCAGGCCTCTGGCCTCTGGGCCTGAAGCTCGGTCCTCTCTGGCACAGCTGGCTGCCGGCAGAGCCCGCAGGCACGCCACTGCAACCCCCTCTGGCCTCTGCTCTGTAGCTGCTGGGTGACCTCTCATTTGGGGCTCCACTCAGCTCTTCCCAGGAGGGTGGCACGGTTCCCCCCCTTTGGTGGTCCTCCTCGGGTCCTCATACTCTAGGGCCTCTGGATGTCTGGGGCCTGGATCTCCTCCATACCTGCTTCATACCCTGGGGGACGGGGCTATGGCTCCCCACACTCCCCAGCAGATCGTTACATGGAGAAACCTTTGGAATACAAGCATGCTGATCCACACAAGTGTGCACACAGGTGTACACACGGGTGTTCACAGACGCGGACTACACCTTTCTTGGCTGCTGCCTCAAAGCACATTGTGCGCTGTCTATCTTGCGTGCTGCACAATAGCATTTAATATTTAGTATCTACTGTTATCTACTGTTATCTACTGCTAGCTAGTTTATTGTGATGGTGCTGTATTTATTATGTTGATCTTTTTTGTTTGTTTTCTCTTCTGTTTTTTTTTCTCTCCATACAGGTGATCCAGGTGTTTTGTTTGTTTTTCTCTCTTTTTCCCCCCCTTTCTCACCGTCTCTTCTCCCCTCTGTTTTTCTTTCTCTCCCTCTCTTTCTTTCATTCTTTCTCCCTGTCCTGTCCCCCAGTCATGGCTGTCCCGTTTGTAGCAACCGAAAATAAAATAAATACATAATTATAATAAAGGTCAATCAAATGGACCAATATGGCAAGGCCATGATGATCCACTTGGTAAAATAAATAAATAATAAAAAATTTCAAAGAATCAACATCCAAGTTTGCAGTTAAAGCCACAAACTCACTCTTCTGCCAATTAATTGTATAACCTGAGATTTCCCCAAACGACCTTACCACATCTAAAAGTACAGGAACAGATCGCTCAGGATTTGACAAGAACAAAACAACGTCATCCGCATATAAAGAAATGTAGTGCTTGATATTCCCAATAGAGGGCTCATTCCTAATGGCTACTGCAAGAGATTCAATAGAAATTACGAAGAGCAAAGGGCTCAAAGGGCAGCCTTGTCGTGTCCCGCGGTGTAAAAAAAAGACGCTGATCTATCTTGGTTAGTAAAAATGGAAGAAGAGGGATGCCTATATAGCATATCAACCCATGATATAAACTGTTCGCCTAAACCAAACTTCTCCAGTACCCGAAGCATATAGGCCCACTCGACCTGGTCAAACGCCTTTTCAGCATCTAAGCTCAGTACTGCGATCTTGGAAGCTCCCAAGTGCCTATCATACATAATATTCATCAATCTTCGAACATTAAAGAAGGAAAACCTCTGGGGGAAAAACCCAGTTTGATCCGGATGGATAATTGATCCAACATGTCCATTTAATCTATTTGCCAAACTTTTAGTGAAAATTTTCATATCCAAATTCAACAAAGCAATAGGTTGATAAGAGGAACATTCTGTTTCATCCTTTCCTTCTTTCAATAACAAAGAAATATTAGCTTCATATAGTGTACGGGGAAATGCTTGAGTATGGAAAGAATACTTAAACATTCTCAATAAAAGCGGGGCCACCTTTTCAGAGTATTTTTTATACAATTCAATGCCAAACCCATCTGGTCCTGGGGACTTTCCATTGGAGAATGACTTAATAGCTTTCGAAACTTCTTCAATAGTAATATCTGAGTTTAAAGCTTCTCGTGCAGCGTCATTCATTTTCCCTAACCAATCAGAAATATTGCCCCAAGATTTCAACATATAGAGCTCTTCATAATATTCTCTAAATCGCTCATTAATAGCTTTAGGGCTAATTAAAATTACGCCTGATCTTGATTTAATTTTGTGTATAGCCCTACTGGCCCGTAGACCTCTCAGCTGCCGAGAAAGAAGGTTATGGGGCTTATCTCCAAACTCAAAATGCTTCTGTCTGATCCTAAATAGTTGATCTGTTACTTGACTAGATAAAATTGTGTTATACTCAAACTTCCTTTTAATGATGTCTTGAAACAGAGAGGAACAAGAGGAGGCCTTGTGGTCCTGTTCTAACTGTGTTAATTAGGCGTTTCCGGTGTTCTTTTTTTGACGAAGATTCAAAAGAAATAATTTCTCCTCGCATTACCACTTTAAATGTTTCCCATAAAATCGCATCAGAAACGTCTTGTTTATCATTAGTTTCCAAGAATTCTGATATTTTAGTTGTCATAAATTGGCAAAAGGATGTCTCAGACAGGAGTGACTGGTGAAAACGCCAGTTACCCTGTTGTTTCGTACCACAGAAGTCCAGGACTAAAGAGGTTGGAGAGTGATCCGAGATCAAGATGTTATGATAAGTTGAGCATACAACTTTAGACATCAATTTAGAATCCAGCAAAAAAAATAATCTATTCTGGAGTACGATTTGTGCACTTGTGAAAAATAAGAATAATCTCTACCAGTAACCCATTGCTAAACCCCGCTGACTGCAGTCAACTCATCAATACAAACATTTAAAAAAAACACATAAATATCAGCAATCACTTTTTTGGACAGCACCAGCCCACTTTAACCCTTGAGTACAGCAGTCGAAATTATATATATGTTTTTTCATCTCTTTGTATTCAATAGGCTTTGATTAATACACCAATACAGTTGTCTTTTATGTGTTATTGTTCCCTCCATTCCGGCGTACCGTTAAGTAAATAAATAAAGAAATCTTCCCCCAAATGTGTTAAACTTGAATTACCAAGCCTGTTTTGAAAAGGAACTTGGAATGAGACACAGATATTTGTGTAAAGATGTGGGGATTAAACGAAAAAGGTTTCAGAAAAATAAATAGTCAGATAAAGTATACAGTAGATACCTGAAAATTCTTCACTATACTCCACTGTGGATGCAGACAGCTGAAACCGAAGTCATTCCTATTAAGGAGCTTTAACATAGGAAGTGGCATTGACTGTGCTCAGCTCTTGTTTTCTATGGCTTCTAGGCAACAACAGTTTCCTGTTGTGTTGAGCAAAGCCCAGCTCAGGCATGCCTGACACACACTATAGTCAACGTTGGACCTCTGCACAATGTCATATAAATTATATTAATATATTAGCACAAAAAGTTTGATACCAATTACATTTTGTATATATTTGATATTCATTTAAATTGTAGTAATGGTCAGTGGAAACATGATAACATGTATGTTCTATATTAGTTAGATAGGTCTTGTTTTTAAATTATAAAATTATTATTATTTTTTCATCATAATGAGAGAGCATTTAATTAATGACTTTAAAATGTAATTTTGAGGTTTCCTTTAACTGAGAATCTTTGATGTTAGTTTGAGGAACAGGGGATACTAGACAGAAACCTACAAAAAGCTTCAGAAGTACCTAGAAGGTTTGATATTTATAAATGTTTGACATTCAAGTTTACCATAAAGCTGAACAGGAATGCAAGTTCCTTCTGAATCTAAATGTTGAGAACAAGCAGGAAAAGGTATGGGTGAGCCTACTGTTATAACTGTAAAAGAATAAAAGGAAATTGAGACAGTACGATAAATTGCCAAAGTGAAATGTCGGTGATACATTTTTACCATAATGAAGATAATGATATCACAGTTTATTTATCTTGCTGTGCTGACAAACAAAATAATAATTATACATGTCTTCTTTGCTTTGAAGCTCAACTACATCAACTGAGAACAGCAATGCTTCTGTGAAGAATGATCTCAGCGGTGAGGATGACTCTTACAACATCATTAACACAGAAATCCTTCTTAAGTCAGAGCTATTAACAGAAGAATATTTTAGAACGCAGAATATTTGTATTTAATTCAATATACTACTGCTATTTTCTCTCCTGCGAGAAGGCATCACACTAAGAAAGAATGACATGTCATTGTATTTATTTACAACAATCATATTTCTACATTTTAGTTCAACAATTCTTGGTACATTTTTATTTTTATTTTGTTCCATTTTTTCAGAGACCTCAACGCGATGGAAGGAGCTGGTGAAACATCTGCGCGGAAGACTTCTTACAGAAAACAAACTGATTGAAGACACCAATCATCCTAACAAGAACAACACCGAACACATCATGAGAGAGGACAGCACTCCAGGGAATAATAAACAGACTGTGGTGAAAGTGGGTGCAACATCTGACATCTTTAAAGATAAGAATGGGAAGAAAATCAGAACTGTGCTGACTCTTGGAGAGGCTGGTATTGGAAAATCCTTCCACGTACAGACATTTATAAAAGAGTGGGCGGAAAACAAAAACCCTTCATTTTTCACTAGGTTTGCAAAAACAGCAAAATCTTTGTTTCGTAAAGGCAAAGAAAATGAACTAGGAATATTTCCACTCGAAGTCTCTGAACTTAATCAGATGAAAGATAAAGAAATTAGCTTGGTGGGTTTTCTCAACCATTTCTTTAAGGAAACCAAAGACTTTGTAATCACTGAATTTTCACACTTCCCATTTTTATTTGTCTTGGACGGAGTTGACCAATCTCAGCTCCTGCTCGACTTTGACAACAACAACATATTGACTGATATCAGTGAACCAGCCTCAGTGGACGTGCTGTTGACCAACCTCATCAAAGGGAACCTGCTTCCTTCAGCTGTAGTGTGGATAACGTCCCGACCTTCAGCTGGTAATTGGCTGAATGTTGAAAAGTTTGTTGACAGGGTGACAGAAATACGAGGTAAGATTATTGTTACGGAGACAATACTTTAAAATTAAATGGAACCAAGGGCCTTTATGGTATAATATCATCCAAAAGTCTTGACCCCCACCCCCCCCACCCCCCACCCCCTGTTATTTACAACAGTTATATAACTGCTGTTATTACTGTTAATTAAAATGTTGCAATCACTGAATATTATATTGTTTTACTGTATTTTCACTATAGAGAAAGATGTCAAAGAAAAACTGAGAACAAATCTGAAGATAACTATTTGCAACAAGTATAAACAACAAAGTGAGGAAGAGATCGACACAGAACTCTGTGTACTAAAGGATGAAAAAGATCTAGTGAAAGTCAACTACAAAGATATGTTTAACGTGCGAACAGTGCTAACAACAGGAATGGCTGGTGTTGGGAAAACATTTCATACAAGGTTGTTCATGTTCAACTGGGCAAAAGAGAAGACCAACCAAAACATAGACTTTATAGTTTTCTTCCAGTTCAGTGAGCTGAATGAAAGAAGTGTTCGCAGTATGAAAGAACTGCTGAACAATTACTTCAGTGATATTAAACAACAAGGAGATCTCTCCTATGACAAGTTTAAAATACTTTTTATTCTGGATGGCCTGGAAAAATGTACACTTCCCCTGGATTTTATAAACAACAAGGACCTGACTGACATGAAGGCACAGGCCACGATGGATGAGCTGCTAACAAACCTAATCAAAGGGACTTTGCTTTCTTCTGCAAATCTCTGGATCATCTCTCGACCCTCAGGAGTCGATAAGATTCCATCTAATTATATCCAGAAAGTTACAAAATGTCAAGGTAAGAGACAACACACTGGTTTCCACATTTAAACACAATTAAAAATAAATTAATAATTGATGTTGTTCACCGTACATTTATCTTCTTTTTTTTTTAGAGACGTCAAAGCGATGGATGAAGGTGGTGACACTTATGCGTGAAAGACTTTGTACAGAAATCACTCTGATTGAAGACACCGATCATCCTAATCAAAAAAACACAGAACACATCATAAGAGAAGACAGCACTGCAGAGAGCACTGATGAACAGAAAAAGAAACAGACTGTGGTAAAAGTGGAGGCAACATCTGACATCTTCAAAGACAAGAATGGGAAAAAAATCAGAACTGTGCTGACTCTTGGAGAGGCTGATATTGGAAAATCCTTCCACGTACAGAAATTTATAAAAGAGTGGGTGGAAAAGAAAAACCTTTCATTTTTTACTTGGTTTGCAGACAGAACAAAAGCTTTTTTTGGTAAAGCAAAAAAAAATGAACCAGGAATATTTCCACTCAGTGAGATTAATCAGATTAAAGATATGAAATTTAGCTTAGTGGGTCTTCTTAATAATTTCTTCAGAGAAACCAAAGAATTTGTGATTACTAACTTTTCACAATTCCCAGTTTTAATTATCTTGGATGGACTTGACAAATCTCAGCTTCCACTTGACTTTGACAACAACACCACCTTGTCTGATATCAGTGAGCCGGCCTCAGTGGATGTGCTGTTGACCAACCTCATCAAAGGGAACCTGCTTCCTTCAGCTGTAGTGTGGATAACGTCCCGACCTTCAGCTGGTGATCAGCTGAATGTTGAAAAAATTGTTGACAGCGTGACAGAAATACGAGGTAAGATTATCATTGCAGCAACTGCAATTAGATATAGTTGAGCATTTTTGTAGTACTTGTGCTAGTGTATTACACCAAAAAAGAGTCAAAATATTTAAAAAAAACTTTCATAAAAGACAAATATAGTAAATATTTATATCCATCCATCCATCCATCTTCATCCGCTTATCAAAAGCCAGGTCACGGGGGTAGCAGCCTAAGCAAAGAGGTCCAGACCTCCCTCTCCCCAGCCACCTCCTCCAGCTTGTCCGGGGGAATACCAAGGCGTTCCCAGGCCAGCCGAGAGATATAATCTCTCCAGCGTGTCCTGGGTCTGCCCCGGGGCCTCCTCCCGGTGGGACATGCCTGGAACACCTCACCCAGGAGGCGCCCAGGGGGCATCCTTGTCAGATGCCCGAACCACCTCAGCTGGCTCCTTTCGATGTGGAGCAGCAGCTGCTCTACTCTGAGCCCCTCCCGGATGGCCGAACTTCTCACCCTATCTCTAAGGGAGAGGCCAGCCACCCTTCGGAGGAAGCTCATTTCCGCCGCTTGTATCCGCGATCTCGTTCTTTCGGTCACTACCCACAGCTCGTGGCCATAGGTGAGGGTAGGGACGTAGATCGACCGGTAAATTGAGAGCTTCGCTTTTACACTCAGCTCCCTCTTCACCACGACTGACCGGTGCAGCGTCCGCATTACTGCAGCCGCAGCCCCAATCCGTCTGTCGATCTCCGGCTCCCTTCTCCCATCACTCGCGAACAAGACCCCGAGATACTTGAACTCCTCCACTTGGGGCAGGAACTCATCCCCGACCCGGAGTGGGCACTCCACCCTTTTCCGGCTGAGAACCATGGCCTCAGATTTGGAGGTGCTGATCCTCATTCCCGCTGCTTCACACTCGGCTGCGAACCGTTCCAGTGCGAGCTGGAGGCCCTCACCCGATGAAGCCAACAGAACCACATCATCTGCAAAAATCAGAGATGAGATTCTGAGGCCACCAAAGCGAAAGCCCTCCGCCACTTGGCTGCGCCTAGAAATCCTGTCCATAAAAATTATGAACAGAACCGGAGACAAAGGGCAGCCCTGGCGGAGCCCATCACCCACCGGGAACGAGTCCGACTTATTGCCGGCAATGCGAACCAAGCTCTTGCAACGGTTGTATAGGGATCGAATGGCCCGTAGCAATGGGCCAGACACCCCATACTCCCGCAACACCTCCCACAGGACACCCCGAGGGACACGGTCGAATGCCTTCTCCAAGTCCACAAAACACATGTAGACTGGTTGGGCAAACTCCCATGCACCCTCAAGTATCCTGGAGAGGATAAAGAGCTGGTCCAGTGTTCCGCGACCAGGACGAAAACCGCATTGTTCCTCCTGTATCCGAGGTTCGACTAGCGGACGAACTCTCCTCTCCAGCACCCTGGCATAGACTTTCCCAGGGAGGCTGAGGAGTGTGATCCCCCTGTAGTTGGAACACACCCTCCGGTCCCCCTTCTTAAAGATGGGGACCACCACCCCGGTCTGCCAGTCCACAGGCACTGCCCCTGATCTCCACGCAACATTGCAGAGACGTGTCAACCAAGACAGCCCTACAACGTCCAGCGCCTTCAGGAACTCGGGGCGGACCTCATCAACACCAGGGGCTCTGCCACCAAGGAGTTGTTTAACTGCCTCAGTGACCTCGCCCCCGGAAATTGGCGGGTCATACCCCTCATCCCCAGACTCTGCTTCCTCCTCGGAAGACGTGTCAGTGGGATTAAGGAGGTCCTCGAAGTATTCCTTCCACCGCCCGACAATTTTCTCAGTCGACGTCAACAGCGCTCCGCCAGCACTATACACAGTGCAGGTAGAGCACCGCTTTCCCCTCCTGAGACGCCTGACGGTTTGCCAGAATCTCTTCGAGGCAGTCCAAAAGCCTTTTTCCATGGCCTCTCCGAACTCCTCCCACACCCGAGTTTTTGCTTCAGCCAGTAAATATTTATATGATAAATAATTTGTTATTGCTAAAAGGAAGATAAATGTACGCAGTGTATACTTGTGTAATTTCTGTTTCTAATGTTTTCTTACAGAGAAGCCTGATATTAGAAGCCAACGCAAACTCAAGTCTCAACTGAAGGAGCAGTTTACTCGTGTGTCTGAGGGCATCGACAGGCAAAAAACCTCTGCTGTCCTGAATGAGATCTACACAGAGCTCTACATCATAAAGAGGCACAGTGGAGAAGACAATGAGCAGCCAGAGACCAGACTGGTTCAAGATGCAAAGTTCAAACAAGAAACAGCAATTAAATATAATGAAATCTTCACCTCTGTAGGAAATAAACCTATTAAAACTGTGATGACAATTGGAGTGGCAGGCATAGGAAAAACTATCGCATCAATGAAGTACATGCTGGACTGGGCTGATGGTAACCCGGTTCAAAACATTTATTACATGTTTCCACTTCCTTTCCGAGAGCTTAATTTGAGAAGAGAGGAACAACTCAGTTTTGAGGATCTTATTCATCAGTTCTTTCCAGCTATGAAGACCTCAGAAATATCTGACTATAACAAGTACAACATTCTGGTTGTTCTGGATGGCTTTGATGAATGCCGCCTTGATCTTGACTTCAGTGAAAGTAATAAGTGCATCAATGTGAGAGAGCCAACATCAGTCAATATTCTGCTGACCAACCTCATCCAAGGAAATCTGCTTCCTAAAGCTCAAATCTGGATCACCTCCCGACCTGCAGCGTCGAACCGTATTCCTGCTGATAAAGTTGACCGGGTCACAGAGGTGCGAGGATTCAATGATGAGCAAAAAGAAGAGTACTTCAGGAAGAGGTTTAATGTGGATCTGGCTGAAAAAATCCTCACCCATGTGAAGAAATCAAGGAGCCTTTATATCATGTGTCACATACCAGTTTTCTGTTGGATCACTGCAAAGGTCCTGGAGGAATATGTGACCACAAACCAAGATGATGAAATGCCCAAGACTCTGACTGACATGTACACATACTTTCTTTTGATTGAGTGCAGACAGGCTAACAGAAAGTATAATGAAGACAAGACAGGTGAAAGCTGTGAGATAGATACATGCTGGAATGAAACAAACAAGGAAACCATTATATCTTTAGGCAAACTAGCTTTTGAGGAGCTTGTTAAAAGAAACTTTCTCTTTGATGAAGAAAACCTGACAGAGTGTGGTACTGACATCACAAAAGCCGCAGTTTTTTCTGGGATATTGACTCAGATCAAGAGAGAAGGTCCTTCACTGTACCCACAGAAACTGTTTTGCTTTGTCCATTTGAGCATTCAGGAGTTCATGGCAGCTTTCTATGTGTTTTACATCTTTAATAACAAAAGTGAAAATCTGCTTACCCCACCTCCTTCAGTGGTTTCAGATTTGCCTGCATCTGACTTCTACAAGAAGGCAGTGGACAAAGCTTTAGATAGTAAACATGGAGACTGGGATCTGTTTCTCCGCTTCCTGCTCGGCCTCTCACTGGAGACCAATCAGAATGATCTGAAAGAGCTGCTGATAGACAACAAAAAAATTAACAAGCAGACCAACAAGGAGACAGCTGAGTACATCAAAAAGAAGATCAACGAAGACATCAGTGATGCAGATAAAAACCTCAATCTTTTTTACTGTTTGAATGAGCTTAATGATCACTCTCTTGTGAAAGACATCAAAGAGCAACTGCGATCAGGAAAACAGAATTTTGAAGATTACTCTGCTGGTCAGTGGTCTGCTCTGACGTTTGTGCTGTTGACGTCAGACAAGAAACTTGATGTGTTTGATCTGAAAAAGTATCGGAAATCAGAGAAAGTTCTTCTGGGAATGTTGCCAGTGGTCAAAGTCTCAAAAACTGCCTTGTAAGTACTTTTGAATAATTACTTTTGTAATTCAGTGTGCACAAAGTTTAACTATCTAAACAGCTTTCACAGAGAAGGAGAACTCCAGTGAGTTTAGTGGGAGATTCAGTCAATTCAGTGTCATTTATCAAGTTTGAATTTCAAACTTTCTGCTTTAACCTCCTAGGACCTGGCATCCACATATGTGGACATCACATTTGGGTTGTCTAGACCAAAATACCTAAATTTACTCTACAAGGGCCTGATATCCAATTACAATGACATTATACTGCCACTGTTCTATCAAAATCTAAAACGAATGTCCTCATATGTTGATTTCATTTTTCTCAGAAACAAAAATTAGGTAAAAATAAAAATCTGGTAATTCTTTGTTTTTACATTCATCAGGTCCCAATCAGCCCAAATAGCAAAGAAAAATTAAAAATGCATGCCATGAAAGAGTTCGGGTCTTAGGAGGTTAATTCAGAGGGTTTAAGAACAACTTGACATTCACTATTCAGTAGTTACAGATAACTTTGTGGAAAGTCACCTATTTTCAGAAACTTAAAAGTAATTGGATAATTGACTCACAAGCAGTTTCATGGTCAGGTGAGTCATGTTCCCTTGTTACTTCATAACAGTGGAAATGTGCCACTGGCATTTATTGATGATGTGGGCAGGGACAGCTCAGTAGGTAGAGTGGTCGCCGAAGGTCAGGGGTTCGAATCCACTGAAGGGCTACCCTGAGGTAGCCTACCTCTGAGCAAGGTACCATCCCTACACACTGCTCCCTGGTGCGCCTGCTTACTGGGTGCCCACTGCTTCACTGAGTGAATGGGTCAAATGCAGAGAGAGTAATTTCCCCACGGGGATCAATAAAGTATACATTATTATTATTATTATTATTATTATTATTATTATTATTATTATTATTATTATTATTATTATTATTATTATTATGTGATTGCTGATGTAAGTCACAGGATGATTTGGAAGTTTGCAGCCAAACACTGGAAAACTGATCAGACGGTGTTCCAGAGTGCTGACATGCTAGATTTTTTTTTAAGGCAAAGAAATGGGATATTCTTGAGTGTCAACTTATCTAAACCTGGTTTTTCGTTAAATATTAAACTGAATACAGAAAGGCTCACAGACAAACAGCAACTGAAGGTGGCTGCAGTAAAGGCCTGACAGAGCATCAAGGAAATGCAGCATCTGGTGACGTCCATGGGCTCTAGACTTAAAGCTATGACCAACAAATGGTCCAAATAAATAATCCTCTAAATAAAGAATTATTTGTAATATTTGGATTGAAAATTATGTTCTTTTGTGATATTAATTCTAAGCCTCTGAAAACTGCGAACTATGTTTAAAAGTGTCTGTAATTTCTAAAGTAAATGCAAAATTTTTGTAGATCTCCTTGAATCTAAGTGGAAACCCTCATCGTCTTAATTGTTCTATTTAAATTCCAAGGTAGAGCTATAAAAATTATGTTCTGTCCAACAACTAATTTATATAACTGTATACACTGGTATTTTAGTTACTTGAACATACTAGTGCAATGTAACAGTGCATAGCACTTTGCTGTATGTCTCATTTTCACAGGCTAACGTGGTGTGAGCTCTCTGAAAAAGCCTGCAGTGGTCTGACATCCTCAGTCCTAAGCTCTGCATTCTCAAACCTTTTGGAGTTGGACTTTAGCCATAATGATTTGCTTGATGTGGGTGTGCAGCATCTTGCAGATGGCCTGATGAGTTCGCACTGCAAACTGGAGATTCTGAAGTAAGTGTGGATAAATCAGACTGCCAGGGAGGTTTTTGTTGTCTTTTCCTGTTAGAAAATTAAAAGGTTTCCATATGGTACAAAGTATAACAGACTGTTAGGTTGCTGAGACGCTAGACTGTTTTTAGCCACATATGAACTTTTTTAGAGACAAATATTTTTTACACTTTAGTCAAAGTGTGCAGAAAAGCTGTACCTTATATGATTGCTTTCCATTACCATTATATCCTAAACCCAGACTAAAGGGGGATGAAGGGGGGTTTCTGAATATAGAATCCAATTAAATGGTCTACCTGGCCTCATACTTTATGTAAATAGGACATTAAATTTCTGTGAAAATTTTGTCAAGTTTACTAAAGCAGGGAAAACATTCACAGCATTCAAATATATTCACTGCAGTAACTTGATGTTAAAGAGAAGGTGATCATCTTATTAAAGACATTAATGTGTCATGTGTTTATTGAATCGTTTTTTGAGTGTTTCAAACCTTTATGAAAAAGTCAGAAAGACCATCAAAATAATTTCTCTCTATGTGTTCTGCAGATTGTCTGGTTGTCAGGTAACAGAGACAGGCTGCTCTTTCTTGGCCTCATCTCTCAAATCGAATGCAGCTTCCCTCCTGAAACATCTGGATCTGAGTTATAATCACCCAGGAGACCTTGGGACCAGAGAACTCACTGTTATAAAGGAAGATCCAGATATGAAGCTGAAGACACTGCTGTAAGTTATAAATATAATTGTCTATATAGTATATATAAATTAAAAGGCATTTATTTCTAATAATATAGAAGGATCTTTTTCTGGGCCTACGTCAACTTTAAAGCAAAATTATAATAGAACCTGAAGTAAAAACTCAATGTTTCATTTATAACATAAATTAAATTTGAAGTCATATTTTTTCCACTCTGTTTGAAAATTATTGCTGCACTACTTCCTCCCCCTACACCTAATACTATATATAAAATAAAATCTTTTACAGTTTGGACCATGGTGGAGAGCATCGGTTAAAGCCGGGGATAAAGAAGTGTAAGTTGGTCTCTGATCTTCAGCGTTTTGTCATGTAGTCACCAAGTTAAAGCTCCAGTTGCTCATTTTTGAAATCAAAATCACCAATTATAATTTGCTATACCTGCTAATGTTGTTTTGATTTGTTGCTTTGATTTACTTTTTTATGTATTTATATTTTGTGGTCTCTCCAGTACACAAACATATCAAATTCTTGCATTGTCTTTCTCAGATGGTGTAGAACTGAAGTTTGACGAAACTACGGCGAGCAAAAGGCTTATCCTAGAAGGAGACAGGAAAGTAAAAACTGTAAAGAATGTAGAGGATAAACCTGCACGACCTGAAAATGAGGACAGGTTCAAGAGGTCTCAGGTGTTTTGCGTCGAGGGACTGAAAGGTGTCTGCTACTGGGAAGTTGAACGGAGTGGGACGGTCTGCATTGCTGCAGCATACGAAAGAGTGGGTAGAAATTGGGACAGTAGTGGTGGCCTAGGATGCAATGAGTTGTCCTGGGGTCTGTACTGCTCTAAGACTAAATGCACTGCCTTGCATGGGAAGACATCAACAAAGCTGGAATTACCTTCCAGTAAAAAAATAGCAGTGCTCTTGGATTGGGAAGGTGGAATTCTGAGTTATTACAGTGTTTCATCAGAAAAGCTGAGCCTCATACACACCTTCCATGCAAAATTCACAGAGCCACTCTTCCCAGCATTCTGGTTTAAAACAGGCTCTGTGACCTTATGTGAGATAAACTAAATCACTGTGGTTGAAACAGGTTTGATAAACTGATCACCACAGATGTTCTTCGTATTTCATTCAATTAACATTTCAGTTCCTTAACATGAAAAATTACTTTGCTGTTTTTCTCTTTTAGATGTGACTTGTTTATAAATGATAATAAAGAAAAAAGAACAATGTAAAAAGAAAACTAAGCTTTTGCAATATCATAAAGTTACATTTGCACAACATCCAGAGGTCCTTAAAACGCACTAACCCATGGCAGTTGTAGATCTGCTATGATACAGGCAGCTCTGTATGTCAAAATAACGGACAGTCGCTGATTTCACTCATTTCTTTCTAAAACTTGTTTGTGTTTCCTTGTTTAATCACTTATATTTTTCTAAGTGTAAGATATCCTGATATCCTGATAACGATGATGAATATTACGAGTTTCAAGTATGTTTTTTTTTTTTTTTTTTACTTCAGTTCTGCCTTGTTCTTGTTTTCATTACTTTAATTTTATATTTTATAAATGACAATAAAGCAGAACATGTACAAGAAAGAATACATAACTGTATCCCTGTCAAATAATACTTACATTTCCTCTTGAACATTGACATTTTTTTGGTTTTTTGTTTTCACTTTCTAATGAAAAGATAGCTAACGTTTAAATTAACAGTGAGGTAAAATGGATGGATCGTTTTATTGTCAGTATCATCAGCAGTGAAGACTGATGGTCATATATAACTGTACATACAGAAACCTGACTTTTTGATATACATAGATATAAAAAAAATAAATCCACTGATTAAGGTCAGACTGTGCTTGAGAAATTGATGAAAAAATAATTTTGTTTTACCAAGTTTGAAAAAGAGAGAGAGAAAAAGATAAGGAAAGCGAGAGGCTTCAATAGTAAAAATTTATGGAGAGTTGATCCCAAAGCCAAATAAATGTATGCCAAAAAATATCAAAATGTCACACCTCACAGACTTGTTAAGGACAAATTACTCACATTTGACTTTGGCTCACATCACAGGATTAGGTTTTTATCAGGTGTGTTTCTTAACTGATACATCTGGAAACTTGAACACAAAAACACTTCTGAATGTCACCCGATGAGTGTTGTGGTTGGACTGTATCTACTGCCTTAGTCTTTATCTTCCTAATTATGTGTCAGTTGATCGCTTGTCCAGGTGGTATGTTCCTACATCCACGTCTGTCTTTGTCTCTGTCCAAATTTCTTTTTTCATTCACGCTTTCTAACATAATTTCAGTCGAGCGGCTGTCAGACACAATTTATTTCTCTTCTCTTCCATCTGGATCCTGATCAAACTTTACTGTGTTACACTGTGAAGAAGCCTGGTTGACTATAGGAATAATTAGGGGAGTAATGGCAGCTGCAGTCTTGGTATCCAGGTCTCAAACACATGCACAATCATAGACATTTACAGTACAATAATGTGATGTTAAAACAGCCCATTTCCCCTGACACATACGGTTATATTCATGGCAGTTGAGTCTGTTGGGAGTGATTATTTCCATCGGTGTCCACCGGACTGTAAGAAGAGAAGAGAAAAACTGAAATAAAGACCTTTTGCATTTACAGTAAGGTAAGCTTAGCAGCTTCCATGTCCAAAATTGTCTAAACCTTCTTAATGTTAAATTTGACTACTTTATTTCATTCTTTCCTCCCTAATCTTTGCTTAAAGTTACAGAGCATAACCAGTGATTTATTTCCTTTTTAGTTTGTGACCAGTTTGAGCCTTTCTGGTTAATCAAAGAGTAAAGAAACAATATTTCAAATATTCTAAAAATCACTGTTAAAACTAAACATCCTTACAGTGGGGACAGTTTGCATACTACTCAAGACACAGATTGTTTACTTAAAATTGGCACAGGCCATTGTGCATTTTAACATTATATTATTGTATGCATCCATCTTTTTTTTGTTTGGTTTTTTGTTTTGTTTTACCAAAATTCGCATCCAAGCTGGCATGTTTGGGCATTTTAATGTAGGAGGCAATGAATTACACATATAATATAGGAGTGGATGGTGGCTAGAATGAAAGCAGTTACAAAGGAAGGGATGGAAGTAGAAGAGAAAGGAAGCATCTGGGACAATGTGGCAACGAGCGAACTGAAGGCCTTTTTGCACCACAATCCAATTCATTGTTTCCATAAACCTATTTTTTGACTGAGTCTGTGAAGAGCCTTAAAGAAAATCACAATAAAAAATTTAGTTCCAGTTCTCACATCACGGGCCTTATAAAAGCAACAGACCTGTTTGATTTGCTTAGGATCTCTCCTGTTTCTGCTTCTTTCACTCCATACTATTGATCTGCTGCAGCTAATTGACAACACATTTAGGGCCCCTCACGCTCTTTCTGTCTCACTCTGCATCAGTCTCTTAAGATTTGTTTTGATTAGAGAGCTGCCTGAGCACGCTTTGAGTTGAATGAATGAATGGTTTGTGTGGGTTTACAACAGACTTTGTGAGAAATGTGTGGACGTCTCTGCTTTTGAACTGGAAAATGTACATTCCTTTTGCAATGATCAAAAAACCTTTTAAAACCCCACAGGCCCTGTTAAATGATTATGTTGACCTTTTTAATAGTGTATGAGCATCTACTGACTAATACAACATTTAATTAATTTTGGCTGATTTCCAGAAGTAAAGGTTTTTAAACTCATCAGGCAATGGATAATCTAGTCATGGCAGCAATAATGAGTTGTGTTGTTGAGGATACATGGAACTTTTGCTTTTGTAAAAACTGTTGTTTTTGCTGCTTCTAACCTTTGTTAGCTGCTGTTAGCTGGCTGTTGGTAGCTGCTGTTATTGAAACATTCTTTGAAGTGTTTGGACTGTGATGATTAGTGAATAAACTCTCATATGGTGTGAGACTGTAATTAAACTATATCGGAGAGAAAGAGAGATTTGTAGGATACTCAAGCCTAACATTAGCTAACATGTTAGCTTAAAACAGCTGTTGTTGTTTAGCTGTCAGCTGTCTGGAGACAGGAGGGTTGCATTTCTAATCCAGTGCATTCCAACCACTGTGCTGCGGCACATAGGTGTGCTGTGAGAAATGATCAGTTGTCTCGTGGAAGATTATCTGGTTCCACCTGGTACTCTAAGCAATCAGCGTGAGTAACAGGCAGAAAATTACATTAGCTTTCACTAGAGGGCAGTACTACCTGCTCTAATTAAATTGGTTGCAAACTGCCAGTAAAACAGAAGAAATTACATAATAGTCATGCTGTGAGTGAGACAATGCAGCACGTAATAACAATAGATAAATATTTGAAAGGAAAAAGTAGTCAATCTGACCTGGGTCCTGACCTTTTTATCACGAGGCTGATGGTGCAGATACAAACTGAAATACCCCCCAAGAAGCCTTCTCTGCCTAGCCATATGCATAAAACACAATTAGTCAGAAAAGGGATATCTTTCCCAGGACACTGTATTTAAATATGATGGGGAATATAGTGGCTTCCAAAAACTGAACCTATGTATTTTTAGTGGATTAATTTGTTAATTCAAAATTTGTTTGAAGATCTGAAACTTCTATGTGACAAAAATGTAAGAAAAGAAGTCAGGAAGAGGAAAAGGACTTTTTCACAGTACTCTCTGTGTTTCTGCAGACTGCAGCAGCCCACCTCTGCCCTCCACAGATGAGCCACAACCACACCCTGGTCTATGGAGTTTATGAGAGGCATCTGCCACTTCCAGTTCCTCATTTATCAATGAGCAGGTTTACTGTTGTGAAGGGAAACTTTTTAACCCAGACCACTATATTATCCTAAATTTAACCAATTAGACTGTGATAACTAAAATGAATCAAGAAATATCCACTGCATAAAAATACCAGGAAGTGAAAGTAAAAAGCAAGTTAATAAAAGCAAACTAGAAGTGAAAAGGACCAAAGTGCAGAACACAATCCTTGTCTTACTTTGTTGGGATCCTACGGCAATTTTGTGGAAGAGAAAGAACTGAGAAGAAGACAGATTTGGAAAGTGAAGCAGGTTGTGAGTGAAAAAGTGGTGTCGTGGCCAAAAAGCTCCTGCTTTGTTAATGCACTGTGTGCAGGCGTGTTGGCACTCACAGCATTTTAGGTCATTTCTGACTGAAAGTTCTCACAGATTACATCTCCACTGACAGTCTGACCCTGGAGAACAACTCATGATGTGAATGTTAAAACAAGGAACACATCCTGGTTCCACTCCTGACCTGATGTGCCGGGAAACTCTGGAATCCTTAGTTTTTGTTTTCTAACCACAGGCTGACATACGATGATGCAGAGGAGGAGTCGGATAGTCTGAAGAAGTTTGTGAGAACTTGCTAACAAACTAATTTTAGCACATTAGCTAGGAAAGCCTTGATGTTGACAACCTCAGTTTAATAAAACAGGCAAGTTGAACAGGATGTTCCTCAACCACTTCCAATGTGAAGAATTAATTTTTCATTAATACTTCTACTCCTCCTGTCGATATTGACCACATTACCATGGTGTACATTGCTCAATTAAAGAGCTAAATGTAAAATTTCATGCTGCTTTTATTAAAAGAATCTTACTAAAAAATACTCATGTTTTTACAACTAGTGCGTTTATGTGTAAGTTGAATTTTGCTGATTTAGTTGATTTAAGGGCAGCACGGTGGCACGGTGGTTAGCACTGTTACCTCACAGCAAGAAGGTCCTGAGATCAATTCCACCATCAGGCCGGGGTCTTTCTGTGTGGAGTTTGCATGTTCTCCCCGTGTTTGCGTGGGTTCTCTCCGGGTACTCCGGCTTCCTCCCACCGTCCAAAGACATGCAGCTTGTGGGGATAGGTTAATTGGATAATCCAACTTGCCACTAGGTGTGAATGTGCGAGTGAATGTGAGTGTGAATGGTTGTCTGTCCCTATGTGTTAGCCCTGCGACAGACTGGCGACCTGTCCAGGGTGTACCCCGCCTTTCGCCCTATGACAGCTGGGATAGGCTCCAGCGCCCCCCGCGACCCTGAAAAAGGATAAGCGGAAGCGAATGGATGGATGGATGGATAGTTGATTTAAAGAACGCAAAGCTGAATTGTTTTGCACATCTTTGGGTTGCTTATTAATTATTTCACATTTATATACTTACCTATTACCTATTTTGTTGTCTGTGAAGGTTCTCAGTCATCCAGGTCATCGTAGTCTAAGGACCATGGAAAGAAAAGCGTCTGGACTTCTTTGAGTTGCTTGAAGACGTTTCACCTCTCATCCGAGAAGCTTCTTCAGTTCTAAGGGTCAAATGGTGGAGAGTCCCAGATTTAAACCCAGTGGGAGTTTCCCCCCAAAGAGGGACAAAGGACCCCCTGATGATCCTCTACCTAATCACATGAGCCAAGATGTGTAAGCGGGTGTGGGTCACAATCAGCCAGGGTTTCGGGTAAGCTCATTGTGAAACCTGGCCCCACCCCATCATGTGATTTCCTGAGGTCAGATGGCCCAGGATGTGAATGGGCGTTAAGGCGTCTGGGAAGGGATCTCAAAACTGGATTATAGATGGCAGACAGTTGGTGTCGTAAACCACCGCCTCTGTTCAAAGATGGTCGCTCACAGTGGACGTAAACTGTGAGCGACCAACTGTCCTTAGACTACCCATTTTGTTATTAAACATGCAAGCTATATGTGTTTGAAACATATAAGGAAACAAACCATACAGGAAAATATTCAAATGACTTTTTATACCCACTACAGTAGGAACTTTTTTTCCCATAAAATACTTAAATTGCTGGTTGAACTTCAAATCCTTATCTTAACCACTTCTGCTATTAAGGGTCTTTAAATCAAAACAATGCCATAATTTCAAGACCTCTTGAAACAACATAGAACCTCTAAAGCTGCCGTCTTAAGAACGATTACAGATGAAAACCTGTCTGTGGTAAGTCAGACAGAAAGTTTTAGTTTAATTCATGTTACATTTATATTTGAATGATTGAATGATTCTGATTAAACTGCCACAAGTAATGCTAGCTCATACATGGCAATCGTTAACGTGCGATTAGATGAGTTGACCTATATGGCTTCATCAAAGCAAAAACAGCAACAATACTGCTACTAATATTAATAATAATAATAATATGTCTTTCTGAGGATGTCATTGAGTGTAAACTTTCCCAGTAATAATGTTTCAATGTTTCCTATTATACCTTCAAAATGAACATTATTTGTTCTTAACCATAAAACCATACCAAGGTAAATGTTGCTTAAAATATCCTCATTTTTCCACATTTTCTGCATTTCATTCACTGCTCTCTGATATAGGCTCATAAATCTGTGTGGGGAGCTGTGATTTACTATCTTTCACAGTCTATTCATGATTTCACTCTTCTTCAGCCAGCACCAAATATTTCAACTTGAACATCTCTCTCAACATTAACCTGGTCATTCATTCAGAACAATGATTTGTGAGTCTAGTCAGTGTGGTCTGTGTCTGTAAGTGTCTCTCTTTAACAAGCTTGTTGGTTCATTGCTATAAAACCTGTTCACGGGGTCAGCTATGTCAGGCGTGCTGGATTTAAAACCAGAGCCACGTTAGAACTAAAAAGGAGCCCTGAAGGCTGGCGAGTTAGTATGCTGCACTTAAGTGAGCAGAATTCAAGTATTTCAACTCTGACATCATGTGAATGAATGGAAATAAGCCCTTTCACCACTCTTCCCTACCGACACATCATGCCTCTGCCCTGTAGCTTGTAAGGACAAAGTAAATTAGACTCTGATTGGTGCAGATTTGTAGGTATCACATGTTTGTGTATTAGTGTGTTTCTGTGTGAATAAATTACCTTTAGGCTCCAAAGTTTTTATGTTAATTAATACTTTGCTAAACACAATGTGTTGAACGTTTGTACATGTATTTGTGTATGCGTGTGTGAGTGTGTGGAAGCACATGTGTGTGTGTCTTCCAGCTGCCATTTAATCCATCCATCAGGTCAGGTTGCGCATCCACTGTGCTTCCCGCATTCCTCCACCTTCCCAGGGCCCTGTGGACCCAGGGTGCAGGGCTGCAGGGTGTTTCCATGGTGCTGGGGTGATAGGGTCACCCCCTTTGCTACATCACTGATTGAATGAGAACTGAAGGGCTGAGATAGAGAGTTGTCCAGAGGCAGAGAAGACGAACGTCGATGTCTTAAAGTTGCAATCATCATGGCTAACCCAGGTCTTAAATTTGTTCTACTAAAATTAGTGTCTTTCCAGCAAGGACTGACAAAAATGTTTACTTCCAAAACTCAAATGGATTACAATACATAATAACATGAATCTGAAGAAATCTCTGTTTGTTCAAGCCTAAAATTAACATTGGATTGCTGTGATCTGTGAGCCCTCAGTCAGTATGAACCATAAAATGTACAAAGCATTTAAAAAACAAAAAGGTAACATTGGCATACATAGTTTTTTCTCTGATTCTGCCTGTTGTTACTTCATCCAGATATCTATTGCATATGGCCAAGATATATTACTGACATACGGACCCATATGAACGTCTCTTGGGGAGACGTAGCGTGCAGTCTTGGCAACGACAGGAAACTCTGGAAAGTCCATATTGTAAAGTTATGTTACCATCATTACATGCTACATGTTTTTTCTAAACACACTTGTAAAGTCAAAACACAAATGATTTAGCCGTCATTATGATGTCATAGATAAAACCATATGTGAATACTGACTCATATTTTCATTTAGTGTTTTTAGAGTGGACAGGCCTTGAAAAGCTGTCAAGGTTAATAATGATGTGGTACCCTTGAACTTCTAAAAAAGCTTTGTACTGTCCTTTTGTATCAGCAGAAGAAGCACGAACAAAGTTGACTGGCTGCAGTGGATAAATAGTCCTGTCACAGTGTTTTTAAGTAGATCTGTTGACCATCTTTCTGCATGTATGACATATATATGTCTGCTTCAACTGCTGAATTATTGTTCATATAAGTTTTGTTTGCCCACCAGGTAAGAAGCAACAAATCCTTAGGCTTAAGCTTGAAAATTATAGCTTATCTGCCCAAGACTCTATATGTCTCTTTAAACTGTGATCTACTATGGTTGAGTGTGACTCGAACCAAACCCAAGTTCCAAAGCAAACTGAAGACATGGACAGGGCAAACCTAAACAGCAAACCCAAAGCAGGTGGAGGATAGTTCGAAGGAGTTTTAATAATCCTACTAATGCTTTTCAATCCGTTGAGCTTATTTGTGTTAGCATTTGGTTGAAACATGAGTTGGGACCACAGAAAATATCATACCAGACCAAAATTAATTTGGATGGAGATGTAAATATATCCACCACGTGTATGGGGTATTGACGTGATGCTCTGATGTTGGAGTCTCACTGCGTGGATTCAGTCTCAGTAATCTGTCTCATCTCCCCATCGTGGGACATGATATGTACTTATTTACATAACATGGCCACATATTTAAGAGTCAAGAGCAGAACATGTGTGTATGTGTTTCCCTCAGGTAGTGTACATTTAAATATTAAAGACAATTATTGTCTGTCTGTTTCTCTCTCTCTCGTACACACCCACACTAAGCCTAAACCTGGCCCTTTCTCTAACCTTAAACCTAAAGTTGTATGATTTACGTTATGGGGACTTACTCTTTGTCCCATAAGGGAGGTGGATGCTCACAATGTGACTATGTAAACAGATGAATGTCTCCACAACACAAGTAATATAATCATTGGAACATACGCACACATATATGCACACAAGGGTGGTGTTGATTACTCATGTCTAAACACAGCATGTTTGATGAGGGTCGCCTCCGGCCTGCAGGTAAAGAGTAACTAACTGGTTCCAGATTGTGTGTGTGTGTGTGTGTCTGCTTTACTGGCATACAAATTGTCAAATTTGTAACTGAAGTTAGTTAAAAGTTAGGTTCACGTTAACTTTAACAACATCTGATAGCTTTACTTTTTCCTGCTCATAACTTGGAGTTTCCCTTTTTCTTTTCCTTTCCTTTGCTTGTAGAAAAGTTTTGTTTTGCTCCCACCCCCTGCTGACCACAGCTACATTATCTTAATTTGCAGCCAGTAAGCTAATTTTACTCAGTATAACCTCTCACATAATGAAATAGGAAAACCCTGTGTTAATATCATGCCATGAGCTACAGCGAGCCATAGATCTGAATTCAAAATGTGTCTCTTAAGGAATCATATTTGACTTGACCCAGACTTAAAACTGACCTACGTTCCTTCTGTTAAACTGTGACCTTCATGCCTGTGGATACACACGTGTCAAAACAACATTTATCACCTCTGGAACGGCCGCTATTCCCCGAGCACTCTCCTCATTTCTTTTCATCCCTCCCTGCTCCCTTCATCTGTTTTCTCTTTCCTTGTAGTTTCTATTATCCCTACACTCCCTCTTTTGTCTTTCCTCCCCATGATCTACTTCATTTTTCCCCTGATTACAACAGCAAACATTTTAATTTTTTTCTAATTATATTTTTGCATGTATTTATTTAACCTCCTAAGACCCAAACTCTTCCACGACATGCATTTTTAATTTCTCTTTGATATTTGGGCATATATGGGCCCGATGAATGTAAAAACAAAGAATTAC